TGATTATTCTATTATCGCAATTATTAGCAAATCATCATTATAAATATCATTATATAATTTTATCATAATTATTGTCCAAATTACTCGCATAATTACCATTATTATCGTCGTCATTATTGATGGGGTTATCATCAAAATCATCCTAATTAGTAGAATTATTGCTAAAATCATCATAATCATCATTTAAACTGGAAAAAGGGGGGTTTTCGACTCATCTCTCAGAAGGCTGTATTTTGCTAGATTTCGCCGGTTTTTCGACTTTTGGGATTTTTCTCCTTTTAGCCTTTTTCTCATTATAGATGGGCTTTATAATGATAATTATCATCATTATTGTCATTATCATCATCATTATTATCATTACTGTGATTATTGCCCTAATTACCCTTAATATAGTCATTATAATAATCATTATCTTAATTATTAATGTCATTTTCATTATTATAATGATTTTAATAATGATAATGGCAATAATGATAATTCTAGAAAGAATAACAACAATAAAATTTATTATAATAACAATAATAGCCGTGTTATAATTACTTTTATTATTATTTCTGTTATCATTGTCGTTATTATTAGTGTTATTAGTAGGAAATTATTAGAATTGTGTTGATTATTGCTATTATTGCAATTATTACGCAAATCATCATTATAAGTATCATTGTATAATTATTATCATAATTATTGTCCAAATTACTCTCATAATTACCATTATTATCGTCATTATTGTCATTATTGATGGGGTTATCATCAAAATCATCCCAATTAGCAGAATTAATGGTAAAATCATCATAATCATCATTTAAACTGGAAAAAGGGGGTTTTCGAGTCATCTCTCAGAAGGCTGTATTTTGCTAGATTTCGCCGGTTTTTCGACTTTTTGGATTTTTCCCTTTTAGCCTTTTTCTCATTATAGATGGGCTTTATAATGATAATTATCATCATTATTGTCATTATCATCATCATTATTATCATTACTGTCATTATTGCCCTAATTACCCTTAATAGTCATTATAATAATCATTATCTAAATTATTAATGTCATTTTCATCATTATAATGATTTTAATAATGATATTGACAATAATGATAATTCTTGAGATAATAACAATAATGATAATGATTATAATAACAATAATGGCCGGGATATATTTAATTTTATTTTTATTTCTATCATTGTCGTTATTATTAGTGTTATTAGTAGGAAAATCATTAGAATATTGTTGAGTATTCTTATTATCGCAATTATTAGGCAAATCATCATTATAACTATCATTATATAATTTTTATCATAATTATTGTCCTAATTACTCGCATGATTATCATTATTACCGTCATTATTGATGGGGTTATCATCAAAATCATCCTAATTAGTAGAATTATTGCTAAAATCATCATAATCATCATTTAAACTGGAAAAAGGGGGGTTTTCGACTCATCTCTCAGAAGGCTGTATTTTGCTAGATTTCGCCGGTTTTTCGACTTTTGGATTTTTCTCCTTTTAGCCTTTTTCTCATTATAGATGGGCT